GTTATTGATTGTTACGAGAACTTAAAAGGAGCTCTACCAAGGAGGCATTTCTCCAAAATCTGAAGGTAAGTTTTTTGAATCGTCTTGTGATCATCCTACCTACATTATTTTGGGAGTCATCAGCTCTGCAGTTGTTTGGTCTTTTATTAGAAGGAGCTTTGTTTGGTTCAGGGCTTAGCCTTTCCATAGAAATGTCGGCAGCACTTTCTGTTTCTACGCTCATTAGCTTCCTCCTAACAGGTTTTTTGACAAATGGGAAGGTCTCAGTACTGCATGGATCTCCTAGTGCTGCAACATTTTTGTAATGCAGAAGACATTAATGATTAGATGAACTATTATTTTCCAAATGCTGTAAGTGCAATAATATGTTATTTGGAGATCGACCTACCTTGTACATCTCTCAACGATGTTGGAGAGTCTTTAGATGCCCTTTTGGAATTCTCTGAGGAACATAGAAAAACAGAAAACAAATCTATTACCTTCAGTTGTAGTCTCTGTGCTAATCAGGGAATCTAAACATTTCCCTCCCTATTATGTTTTTCTTTATACAATAATAAGAAATGTTTGATGCAAAACATATATTTTGAAGAAAGTGCAACAACATCTTGGTCAAAGTTATTATTATTTTGAATGGGATTGGACTTCACCTTAATCATCTCTTAACAAATAAACAAAGCATGTGGCAAATGGAATAAAAATAGAGTACCTTTATTGTCAGTTGTGCTATCTCTGCTTTTTTTGTTTTGAGGCACACCCGTTTGACATGGTTCACTTGCATCTGAGAACAAGAGAGTCAGTTGTTTATCAAACATTTACCCAAGGGAAAGTTTCATTTAGGCCTATTACAGCAATCAGATTTACCTGTGTTAGTGGGTTCAAGCTTTCTTCTAATTTTAGATAATCCAACTCTCAGTTGTCCTCGGAACTGTTCGGAATTGTTCTGGTTATCAAAAGTATGTGATCTGAGAGCTGAAACGAAAGAATATTTTGTAATACTATGAGCTAAGTCGTTATTTTTTTTTTTTCAGAGGAGGATTGAAGGCAATGAGTCTGAGCTATTTGGTTGAGCCTCTGGACATGTTTAAAAAGTGATATTCACCACTAAGTTATTGAAAATTTGTATTGCTCACAAGATACATACCCTTATCGTTTGACATTTCTTTGGGCAGGAAAGGGCTTGCTGGATTTTCATCAGCCATTTGTAAGTTTTCGTTATCCACTGAATTATGAGTCTTTGCTGAAACATAAATAGGAAATCAAAATATCTGCTTAGTTCTAAAAGAGAGACAGAAGTTAATTTTGTTTAGTATGTGCATGCATTACGCAGCCACCTATAATCATGATTCACTTACCTGTGTTGGTTGGCGAAGGTGTGTAGGGGACCACTCCATGGATCTTGTTAGGTTTAGGTGGCGTCGACACATCTTTCATTGACTTTTTTTTGAGCCAACTGTCAACCTTTGCACATGCATTCACTTCTTTTAAGTAACTAGGATTGAGCACCTCTGCTTCCGATTGTGTGTATGATGAAC